GGGAGAAAATTTTTGTTTGTGAAAAAATTGTAAAAGATGGATATAGCGTACTATTAGGCTTTAACGTACGCCTGTATTCAAACATTTTGTTTCCTTTCTTAGGGATTGTATAATATTTCTAATGTAACTAAAGGAATTTGTGAAGATTCTTGTAAATTCCTTCAGGAAATACATCTTGAAGGTAAGAAAGTCCACAATGGCCAATAATAAATAAATTGACATTTTTGCAACCAACAACTAAGCTAAAAGAAAAAGTTAGGGGAAAAGACAGTATGTTATAATTATTTTAATTTATTTACTTCACTCTTTAATTCTGGCTGTTAAAACTCTAAATGGACTTCATCTTACTTTTGCTTTGACATTTCCTACCCAATGTATCAAGTTGAGGGCTCAGATTGGATGACTGTCTTTACATCTCTGTTATAACTTGTTAAAGGTGGCCCAAAGACTTTTTTTTTCTCATGGAATTGTGTAGTGATTTTCTCAGTCTAATTCTCTGTCAAGTTTTCCTTTGATATCTCCTCTCTTATATTTTAAACAGAGGAACTAGCAAATTATCATTCTGTAGTCCTCGTCTAAGTTTGCCAAGCACAAAAACATTGTGTGGCTACTAAAAGGAAACCTATCTATTCTATGCTTGTGTAGACTTTTAAGAGACAAGAACTAGCTGAGACAAAATTGCTCAGCAATTCTAAAATTGTGCCATGTTTTTTTTATCCTTTGACAGAAGGAAATTCAACATGCCCAGAAGGAGTTTCCAATTATAGTAAATGTACGTTTTTAAAAACTCTAAGAATAATTATTTTGTCTTAACTTTGAAACTGAGGTCTCCACCCAGGTTAGAGTTGTTGATGGTCAATTTGCATAAACCCATGGCTATTAATAGTCACCACTTCAAACTTCAATACAACTGCTTCCAAAATCTTGGCCCTGTAGCTCTGGCCCAAGCTATCCAGCGGATATAGATTGTATATTGGTTTCTCTAATAGTCACGTCTGGACTGGACAACCATAAACCCACCTTTAAAACATTAGTAGAATTATGTCTTATAACTGGGGTAATCCAGGGATGGACTTGCTAACTTTCCATAGGGAGAGAGGTGGGGATACTCATAGTACACTGTAAATGCTCAAATTAGAGCCTGCCTGCAAGTAAGTGCCCGGGCCATGAGGCCAAAAATATTAATTACGCACCCCAACCCTCTCCAAGGAAGAAGCCATGTCAATTACTTGTGTAGAGTAGAAATGGAAGGATTTCAATAGCAAAGCTAAGTAAGAGGAGTACCTCAGAGGAGACAGGGCTTTATGATCGAGCCACCGCAAACACACAGATTACGGATATGTTCTAGTTTACTAATTACAGTCAAGCCAGGTCAAGCGTACCCCCCAAAATTCCATTAATGAATGTTATTCAAAAGTTGAGTCTGTTGGCAGTTTTAGATTTCAGATTCATCTCTAAATTCTTGCATGCGTAATGAGCTGTGAATTCACACGCGATTCAGTTACGAAATTTCTGCCAGCTCAGTTTCCCTGAATTTGACGTAAATGTCTTCTAAGAATTTTAATTCATTCAAAGATTTTCAATCTGACCAAATACAGACAAGTTCTGGTAAATTATTCACTGCTCATTAATATTACACATGCAGTAATTCCGATTTGAATTTGACACCAGTTACAGGAACGACTAACGGATTCATTTTTCAAATAATCAATTCATTATTAGAATCTTGGGGGGTACAGTTGACCTGTGTTTTGACTGTAAGTAGAACCTCGATATAATAGCGACCTCCATATAATGAAGACCTCGGTACAGTGTATAATGAACGAATTTCTTAGCCTCATTAATAGTAAAATGTATGAAAAAGAACTTTGATGTAACAAAACCTCAGTATAACAAACAAATTTTGCCAGTCCCTTGGCCCTTCATTATATCAAAGTTCTACTGGATTACAATTTCTATTTATACTTGAAATAACTAAGACAAATTATGTTACTTTGTTACTCTCATAGCCACTGTGTTGTTACATCTGAATGATTTCATTTTTATATTATTTCAGGTGTGTTAATGAAGCCAGAAAATGTGCAAGTTGCTGCACCTGTAAAAAATAAAAGGTTAGAAAATTATACGATTAGCTGGAATGGCACATGGCCATCTTCAACAGTGTTTGTGGTCATGGTCAAACAATGGAAAAAAGGAAAGTCAACAGATGCCAATACTGTGTGGATAGAACTGATGCAGGTATGACAACTCATCAACAACTATACCCTAACCCTAATCTAAAAATATTAAAATGGATAGAACTAAAGCAAGTATGACTCCACCTACAAACCCCAAGGTTTATCTGTAAATATCATAAAATTCTTTCTGTTTGTTTCTTTCAATATTATTCGACATTTAATGTGTTCACAGCAGGATTATCTCAGTTGGTAGAGCACTTGACCATAGAGCAGGAGTTCGTGAGTTCCATTCCTAAGGCTCCACCAATATTCAGGGTCTTAAAATAATTGAGAAATATAGGTGCTGCATTTGCCCTCCTTGTGTGGCTTGCATGACCACAGAAAATGACAGCCCCATCTCTAGTAGACGATGCAAAAAACGGTGTCCTCAGTATAGTACTTTGTTGCCAAATACATTGACACTCAATTAAAGTGCATTTTTTCCTCGGGATATTCATGTAAGATGACTTGTCGTTCCACTCAGCTGAGTGCCTAAAAACTAAAACTAGGGCAGCTAATTAGTGTGTATAGAAACAAAGTGTTATGGCATTTAAGCTACAATTACGTATACTTTAAGAAAGTAGACATTTCTAAGTCTGGATAACGTAGTTATAAAAGTTCACTAATAAAATTGTAATAATCACAAATTATTTATAATAATCTATATATTAATTTTTACTGCATAGACTACCTTGCAATCTGTCCAAGTGAACCTGCAACCACTGGTATGGTACCAGTTCAAAGTCACAGCATCTAATCAGTATGGAGCAAGCCTATTTAGTCTACCAAGTAGATTAATGTTCGCAAGACCACGGCCACCACTTCCTCCAAGAGCATTTAACGTGACAGAGATGCAAGTAGTCAAGGGAAGGGTACAAGTCCATGTGGTCTGGAAGAAACCTGTCAGCAGTTTTGGTAATTAAAGACTTAAGTAAAGTTACCAGCTAACTCAAACTCTGAAGGCAAAGGAAAAATAGTTTGGGTTAGCGGGGCTTCAAGTTATCACTGAGGATTGATTGAATTTTCTATTCACCACTAATTAATTGACAGTTACTGATTTTTCAGCACTTCAGGGTGTATAGTGCAGTGCAAATTTACTAATTTCATGAAAAACAACGACATCATTATGCATTTTTGTGATAAAACATGATCTGTTCATATTGCTAGTTAAAATCAGATTGCTGTATAAGGTTAAATTGTGTGTGTGTTTTTGTATACTAAGAGCTAATGGGATAGCATCCAAGTGGGGTAACAAGAACCAGTGATATCTAAATCAAGGGAATGGAAATTTAGTTTGAGTTAACGGGGAATTCAAGTTATTTGAGGTTGAGTTAACTGATTTGAAACGACTGAAAAGTGGGTTGAAATCCAAGGGAAATTGGACAGGCTACAGTTGGAGTTAGCAGGGAGTTCAAGTTACCAAGGTTCTTCAACGTCACGAGTTAAACTTGTGGATCATTAACCCTTTAAGTCCCAATATCCAGATACAAATTCTCCAAACTGATCTCCATACATTTCCTTGAAGAATTAGTTGAGAGAATTTGATCTGCCAGCATTTTCTCCTTAGTGATCATTTCATAAATTCTCATAACCTAATCTCTTGACAAGGTATGAATATTGTTGGGAGAAAATTGATGTTGGTCACCATTGGGACTTAAAGGGTTAATTTATGGCTAACAGGGTTGTCAGAAAGTTGTGAAGTAGATGGCTGAGTTGTCAAAGTAAGCGACCAGTCCAGGTATATTTTATTTAAAAAATGCTATCCGTAAAGAAATGCCAAGCAAAGAGTAGCCAGCCGATACAAACAAAGTAAGTGGCGATTTTTGCCGGCAGCCTGCTACTTTTGACAACCCTGGGCTAAAAGTCCTACATAATATGACACAGGCTTTTTTCTTATAGGGCTCCCTGTGAGCAAGTATCGAATATCTTGGAGCATGAGACTTGATAATAAAAGAAAAAAATATATGCCCCTTGAGGTGACAGATCATCACACAATGGGAAACAACACTGAGTACACAATCAATGAGCTGCTCCCTAATACAATGTACCTTCTGGAACTCAGAGCAATGACAAGGTGGAAGAGACGCAACCTAAAAAGTAAACGCGTCACTATTAGAATAAGAACGCCAAGTGATAATACCGGTAAGATATAGTCAAGCAGGTAATTAACAATATGTCACCATCGCTAGGCTGTGGATATGACATGATGGATACCCAGCGAGGCACACAGCGCAGAGTTGGCTCTAAACATCTCATATCCTGTACCTGCTAAGTGTCATGATAGGTGTGAATGTCATGTCTGTGGATTGAAAACTTCCATCTTATGCCTTAACTCGCGCGTGTGTTCCAATTTCTCAGTGCATGTAAACACTATTAATAATATTTTGAGGCCATTAATTATGGCTGCAGGCAGGAAGAATTTAGGGTGGGAAAAAGTGAAACAGTGACCACAACATTTTACACAAAGTAAAGGTGGAACACTTGCTGAACAGCTGCCAAGAAGTGGTTATGATTGCTGGGTAATTTACTGGATTGGCTAAGGATATTGAAAGTTGCAAAATTTTGCCATCCCGCACAGGATTCTCATTTAAAGCACTGGCAACCAGCTAAAAAAAGGCTACTTTCAATTTGAGCGGGCTGCTTTTTATAGAAAAAAGGCTAGGCTAATTAAGCTGAGAAAGTGAGAGCCTAAAATTGCATTTAGCATTCTATTGCCAAGGTATATCACCTACATTTACATCCCAGCTGTCTACTTTACAACATGTACATGAGGACCTGCACCCAATGTTGCCGAAGTAAACAAAACATTAGATATTTTACTGCAAGCAGCTGTAAATTTACTGCACAAAATACCCACACCACTTTCAATTTCTGTTTAATAGTAATCTTATTTGTAAGAGGTACGTATTAACTGCAAATCCCTTTTTTATCTCTATTTAACAGCTAAAGTACATGTACAGAACAAATCGCCTATAAAAAAGGAATTTAGGAATGTCTTTAAGAAGACTTCAACACCTCGTGTTGACCTCACCACGTATTCTTCATCTCCTCCTACAGATGGTAAGTGTACCTAGTAAGTTGCTAGGGTGTGGTCTTCCAGAGGGGCGGGTGTACTCTATATTATGGCTTTTACAGGGTGGCCCCGCCAAAAAGGGGTACCATTGCTGTCCAAAATGGGTATGAAGGGGTAAGGGGTTGGACCTCAGGGTGGAGCCACTCCATATACATGTATCACTTCTACAATCCAAAATAATAAATAACCTGCAAATAGTCAAACAAATAAACCAATACATAAATATATACACTGTAAGCAAATGGAACACTCAAATAAAGATGGTGATTTATAATAAGCACTCACTTTTTCCTTGTCATGTTCTTGACAGGTAAGTATTAACCGGCTCCCCAATCTCCTTATTTTCTCCTCTAGGTATAACCTTGCACTCCTCAACTGTCTTGTTTACTTTTGTGTAATGAAGGCACAGGTAGCTCTAATTTAAAACGTGCCTTTTCTTTCCTTAGTGCTGACATCAAGTAATGAAGGTGTTTCTGGAGCTGTCAAAAGAAAAAGAAGCATTGCTCAAGCTAATACAGTTCCATGGTTTGCCTTAAGTACACTTATGATTCTAGCTTATGTGGTACCCTTTGGCCTACGGTAGTAAGGTACACAAAAAAAGGATTAGGACCAAATAATTTGGTCCTAATCCTTTTTCTATAATTTATAGAAAAAAATTATTACCTTTACAGATAAATACCATTATTTTGTATTGACCCCTGAGTCTGTTCGCATTGTTGGGGATGTACCTGCCATACAACTGTACATAATTATGCCACTGAAACACATTATGTCCAGAAATGCATGCAATGGCAATTCTCGCCAAAAATCACCAGATGGCTGGGGAAAATTTAAATGAGGTTCCAAGAAGTGCTCCTTAGAAAGGAGAAGGTGATTAAAATGATGAATCTGGGTTTATACATGTTGGCTCTTAAAAAGGGCAGACCCTATTATACTGAATCCTTAAATACAATAATATTGGATACCACTAGCTTAGCTTGAACTTCCAACAAAAACGGGACAACTTAACAGTTGTTCCAATAAATTAAGCTTGTATGAAGGGACACCTGTACACTGTCTTAAAAGGACCTCATTAAATGTATTTACTGCGCTTTTCACAAACATGCGAATTCTGAAGTGCAAAAGCCAACTGACGATTGCATTTTTCGCTGCTGTCAATCATCTTAACGGACCTCTTAGGAAACAAAACTTTACTTTAATGGGTTCAAAAGGTCAAGGTTTCTAATTTGTGATTGGTGGATTTCGATCCGTTTTGTGTGTTTCTGTGTTTCAAGAGTTCTTGCTTGTGAATTGTCATTATGATTGAACAAAAAGAATGTGAGGGCGGCTTTTGAAACTTTAAAGTTCGCATGTTTGTGAAAACAAATACATATTTTTTTGGTCTTTAGAAGAGTCTTGGAAATTGTCAACAACCAGAATGTACCAAAACAAATACATCGTTGCTCAAATTTTAGATTCTGCACTACTGAAGAGATCCTGCAATCATGTTACCATTAAAATGAAACTTCTTTTAATTAAAAATTGCTTTTGCATTTGTGTTGTGTACATGCAGGATTTGAAAAAAAAATGAAAGTTTCATTTTTCTTGGATTTTGACTCTAGTCATAACTGGGAGTTAGAGATTTAATGGGGTCCTTTTAATTACTCAACAGAATCCTGGTGATTCAATAAGTAATGAACAAACTAAAAATAGTTTGCATTGCAAGTTACTTTGTGTAGTTTTATTATCAAGTTGAAAAAGAAAAAAATAAGAATATTTTTGGCAGTTCTGGCAAATAGAAGTGCCCCATTTTTTTATGGGAATTAAACAGAAGTTAGAATTTTCTTTGATGAACTGGAACTTATCTACATGCTAGAACTCAATCATCACACTTAACAATTTAAAAGAAAATTTGTTAATGTGTTTTTCTATTGAATCAATTCTTCACTGTTTTGAAAATGATAACTGAAGTTCCAGTTCAACTATGAAGTAATGAAGATGTCAATTCTTTTTCCAAAGCACAAAAATAAAAAAAAAATAAAAAAAAAAAACAGGGGTAAGAAAGAGTTCATATAAGGGTCATCACCTTGATGCTCTCATGTAGAAATGTTTTGTAAGAAATGTATAAATTATTATGGATTTAGAAACAAAAATTTTTGATATATTTTTATTTAAAAGCGATAATATTTTAAGGTTTGGTAATATTTTTCCAAAGTTTCATAAATGTCTTGAGAGGAAAGTTGTGTTATTTAATCTGAAATATTAACTGTAATGTTATTTAATTTAATGTTCCTTCAACAATTCGTCATCTGTCCTGGTTGCTATACAACTTGCCGGGACTTGGCCTTAACTAAGTAAGATCACAAGATTTTAACTAAAAGTTTATTTGAAGGAGCCTGAATACACAAATATTAAATTGCTGCAAGCCGAGCATTTCTTTCCAAAGCCCAAAACAAGATAACATAATGGCAAAGCAGCGTGGACATTATTTGACCAAAATTCTGGGACAGTTCCCTGGGCAGAAAGCAAAATTTAAATTTACACAGATCTATGGTTGAGATTAACTTGGTTTTTATTATAAAAATGTTGGTAATTTCTTTTATTGACTTGTAAAAATATCAGGCCAGGACTTTTGATAGTGGATCTGATCACATAGTTCGTAACGAATCCCATTATTATAAAAAAACAAATTGTTAAAAATGTATAATTTGGAAAAAATAAACTGAAATTAAATAAGGTGCTTATAAAAGGTACTTTTGCATTGGAAATGTGCAGACCCTATGAAATTTCTATCATGTCGTGAACCTTAAGCCTGGTTTTCACTAGCGCATAAGCATGAGCATAAGGACATACGCATGCACAGAATGGCATATTCGACTCAATTCTTGATACCAGCTCTCCTCAACCCGATGATAAACAAGATGGCAAATAAAGCTTCCGCCATATTGCTTTTGATATGTTCTCATGAGTTCCGGGTCAAAGTAAGCTATGATTGGTCCACAGCCTTGTGCTCATGCTTGTGCTTATGTCGACCCCGTTTTTACAAGTTGAAGCTACGACATAAGCATGAGCACAAGAAGAATCAACTTGTCCATTTTTCTTATGCTTATGTTTATGCTTATGTCGACCCAGTTTTCACTTGCTTACACATGTGCTTGTGCTTATGCTTGTGCTCTGGTGAAAACCAGTGATGGTGTTCTATGATAAATTTGTTAAACAGAAATCACATTCTAAAATCAATGTTGTACAATTCAGTTTTATTTTTTTGGCTGCTTAATGTGACGTCTGTCTGCTCGCAGAGTAGACCTCCAGGGAAATTCCGCATAACTTCTCCATATTTTCACGCCCTATCAGAAGGCCAGGATGATTACATTACAATACCTTTTTTTTTCATATTAAAAACCAGCAAAAGTGCATCTACTTACTGCTTATGGTCAACTTTGAGTGTTGGCCTAGAAAACTAAGGAGATACAGAATAATAAATTATTATCAATAAAGTCATTATTATTAATCTTTTTAAAAGGTAAAATTGCTGATCAGAATGCTCCTTTTCTAAGTGCTCCATCCAGAAATATTATTGTGTTATATTTCAGAATTGTAAGTAAATTGTAATGTTGTTACAATTAAGCAACATACGTTTTGAAATAAAGATCTATTTTCAGTTAGGTATGGATTATATTCATGCTTCACTCTGCGGCCTTTCACTGCCCCCACCCCTCCCCCCCCTCCTGCCCACCCCCAACTCGGCCATTCCATTTGATAGCTACACCTCCTTTGGATGATGTAAGTTGACTATTCCCCTTAGAAGAAAAGATCAAAAGTACCATCACAGCCCCCAGAAATAACCCATTTTTTCTCATACCCCTCAAAAAGTTTCCAAAGATCAGAGGTGCTGACACAGTCACCCCACCAGAAAATCTCATCCATTGGTGTGAGGACGGGGGGTATTAAATGGAATGACACCCTCACAATTTCCAGCATGTATGCAATACTGTCTCTTCTCATAATCTGAATTGACTACAAGCCTTCCCCCCGCCCGCCTGCCCGCATCACTCGTAATTAAAAGAAGGCTAAGACATCCGTCTGATTGATCCGTACAACCCCAAACATTTAAGCGTATTATGTGTGCAACAATTTCATACTATTTCACACAAATAGTTGACATAAATAAAGAAACATGCATAGTAATGTATGGGGCTGAACGGAAGTCTTATCAAAAGAAGAATTACTGAGTGCAACCATTTCTTTCTTTAGCCTACTTTACCAATAATATAGGGGACTCCTCCTCTAACTATGATCAAATCTTAGACAGTATAAAGGCTCTGCTCTAGGCTCTAGCGTAAAAAAATGCTACAACTTACTTACTAGTTGTATTTGCTACCTTTGATTTCAATACAAGTAGATCAGAAATAACAAAGGGAAAAATTATCGTGGAAAGTCAGCAAGCTTTAACATGGCGGGCTCAATTGGGAGCAAATCCTTTCAAAGCAAATTTGTGCTTACCTGTTTGCTTTGTTAGGTGCTTTAATAGACGTATAGTCATCGATCTCAGACACTTCTATCTTTCAACTATTTCTAATGAATTCTCAAGGCGAATTCTGCAAATCTCAGTAAAAAGACGTCTTCGCGCATTTCTCAAAATGCAGTCAATGCGTGGCTAGTGAAAGGATGGAGCCAGGGGACTGGAAAGGCTTACTTTCTAGGGTCACGTGATCTTCCTATGCCCTCGCGCACTCGCCGAGTATATCGAAAAGAAAAATACTGTAAAACAACATCGGTGTACATGCTAAACATTTTTAGCCGTTTGAACACGATTCCAGCGAGATTAAGTTCTGCCGTAGTTCTTGAAAGGACGACAAATGCTAAGAACACACCTGCCATAAATATAAAAAAGAAGACAAGTTAAGAAATTCTGATGTTGTCCTATTATTGCTATAGTAGCTGACAGGTTTGAAAAAACATGGCACATCTTAAGACTTATGACTAACCTTGAATTTTATTCGCTCACACAAACGCCGCACAAATCTCAAAATAACTTAGAAAACTACGTATAATAGTATTGTATTCCAAATACAAACTTCAAAAAGAGTTTAAAAGCAGTTTTACTGGCATTAATTACAAGAAGCAGAAGAAGTAGAATTAACCTCTCTTTACAAAAAATTCATCGACTTCGATAATTACTTCTCTAGTTATGATTTCCTGTTTAATTAGGACCATCCCCTTCTTTTTTCGTTTAGCGTCGAATGCGTTTACTGATGTTGGGTCGGTCGGATTGAAAAAAAAAAGAAAACTAAAAAAAATCACAAGCAGTCTCGGAATAGGAGGCCCCGGTACCCCCGGGGTTACGTTAAAAGTTAACATTCACATATTAGGATTAACAAAATGCACAATATACTGTAACAAAAAAAAATTCCTGTTTTGTTTCCTGTTTTTCTCTATGCTGTTACTATGCTCATGTTTCAGATTAAAAGAACTATTTCAAGTGAAAAATAGTTTAACTACGTCGTTACTGGCAAAAACTTGGGTCGGTCGGACGACGCTAAACGGAGAAAAAAGGAGGATGGCCTATGCTTTTTATAAAATTCATTAATAACAACAACGTCAGAAATAATTGTTACAAAGAGTTTAAAATAACCCCATAAATATCTGTTCAACCTACAATGCATTTCATCATTTAGCTTACTTTATTAAGGTTTACACAGCAATCAAACAATTTCAAACGAATAGAGCAGAATTCCTATTGGCTTCTCGAACCGTCCCGTTATAATGAAACAAGACCGAGTTTATTGTAATTTAACCGCCCTTTTTCTAACCTCCTCATAGTTTGAACCATTTTAAAAGCCCTTTTCACAGGTTGTTCGAAAAACCATGAATCCAGTACATTAGCAAATTTTCACAGAAGCCGTAACCATACGATAGTTGATTTGTAAACAACCGTTTCTCTTTTTTAAAAATAACTTTTCTTCTGCTGTTCTTTGTCCGTTGTGAAACTCTTCTCTTTCTCCGCTTAATCTCAAAATTTAACAAAAGATAATTTTATCTAATATTTAGCTACTTCCAAATTCAATAAAACAACGACGAAGTAAAAACATGAATATAAGGCGATACATTGTAACACACCCTTCTCTTTCGTTTGTCTCCCTCGAGCGCCGCGCTCTATCTTGCGCCCATTACTTTTCAAGCTGCTGCTACGCATGCTATTAAAAGATTGACATTGCAGTAAAACTTTCACACTTTCAAAATTGATGATAAACATTTTCAGGAAGCACTCTCAATCATTCATTACTTGCTTAGTCCCAAGGCCTTCTTATTACGCGCGGCCAAAGCGTTTCGGGTCACGTGGTCCAAGCGAATTGACTGAGAGGGCCTGGGAAAACGCCGCACAGGGACTAGGCGGTTACTAGGTTAGCAGTCATTGTAAAACAGTTGACCTAGAAACCCGGGAAGTGCGGAAATTTGTCTGACCAAATAAGAAATGAAAACACATAAAAAATGTTATTTATGGGTATTTCAGGCGAGTTCATTTTTTTTTATCGGGAAGGATGTCCATCGAATCTGAAGTAAATTCTGCGGAGATCAAATTAAATCTTTGACCATAAGTCGAATACAAAATTCTTTAAAAAAAAGGAACAACAAAACCGACCGACAAATATGTCGAAAGCAACTACAGAGAGACTCGCCTGAAAAGCTAAATATTGAAAACAATTGTGACCAAATTTTATAAATCGCTGGTCACATTTGTTGAGTTTAAACTAAAGACTCTTGCGTTTGCTGTAAAATTTGATTGGTACCAAAGTTCTACAAGCAAATCTCATCATGGATCGGATGGAGACTCAATTCCGCCACCAGTCACCCCTCCCTGACTACTGGGAGATAGTGTCGGACGCTTGGAAGGTTTCCGAGATCGTTTCTTGGAATTTCGATTTGATCTTTTCCCCGATGGCTTTCTGTTTCTCTTTTTTAAATTGTCTGTCGGTGATTTACTTTTCCCTTCGTCGACTTCGGCCTTTCCCGATTCAGTTCTCCGGCTTTCCGATTCTGTTTCGATTGCTGTTTGGTTTACAGAAAGTTTGAGGCCCTCACCCGAGGAGCTAGTAGTCGTATTCATTATCAATTCTTTTCCCGACTTCTTGATGTTTTTTCTCAATTTTTTGTTCTTTTTGAAGTTATCCTTTTCTCCTTTTTTCCGTCGCTTAGTTGACTTTTTACTTGCATGTTTGACCGTAGAATATTCTTTCGAAACAACCTCCTTTGTGCTTTGTTCGTTTGAGAGTGTCACCAATGACGTGGGAAATAACGTTGAAACAGTTGTCTCCGGAGAACTTGTTTCGTGCGTCGAATTATTCGCGACCACAATCGGCAGATCATCGGCGCTTGTTGTCGACGTTACTACACTTTCCGAAGGTTTCTCGATATTTACTTGAGTTACTGTATCATGTTCAGACTCATTCCGCACGTTTTCATTGAATTCATTTGAAATGTTGCTGAGGAGCTTTGTTGCTTTCTCTGGAAAAACTGAACTGCCAGTTGGCGTCAAATTTTTCGATCTTTTGGAAGATTTCTTTTTAGATTTCTTAGACTTTTTCACCCCTTTCGGCTTTTCTTTCTTGCCATTTTTGTCCTTTTTTCTCCCTCCTTTTACAATAGGTTTTCCTTTACGGATTTTGGTTCCCTTTCTAACTTTTGACTCTGTTTTTGCTGTAGGAGCTGAAGTTGTAAAATGTGAATCATTCCGCGATAATTTCGTTGATGTCGAAGTGGCATCGGTTAGTTTCGGAGTAATGGCGATAACTTGTGAAGGCTTTCCGTTATCTTCCGATGTAGAAGGGCTCACTGAGCTTGGCGTAGTTGTTATGACGATAACAGGTGGCTCGGGTGGTATTGGCCTCTGTTCTTCAGCTTCCGTGGGCGCGACAGTATTCCCAAAAGAAACACTTGTGGCAGACTCTGTAGCTTTCGAAGTAGCAACGTAAGTCACTACTCTTGCATCATCGTGAGTATGATTTCCAGAGCCTTCCTGTCGCTTTTGAACTGTCTCTGTTGCCATTGTTTGTCCAACCTCTTTTTCTGTTGGTGCCAATGTTGTCATAGGCGAAGCCTTTGAAGATGCTGCCAATGTTGTCATAGGCGAAGCCTTTGAAAATGCTGCAGTTTCCGCGCTTTCAGTGGTATTCTCGATTCCTTCTGAAAGATTTCGACGTTCTTCCGAAGCACCATTAGAAAGCAAAGGTCTAGATGAAAGTTCAGCAGATGTCCCAGTTGTTGACGGCATTGCAGTAGTAATGCCACCCAAGACAGCAATACTTTCATTATTATAAACACCAGATCCGCTGTCTGTTATCATAGTTGTGATTTCTGCTGGTCTTTCTTTCGATGTACTCATCAATCTAGGGGTTGTTAATGGTACGGAAGTGGCATTAATATGGGCATATTTCTTCCCATGGTAATGGTTACATTGATGCCCTCCTCTACATGCTCTCATTCTGCTAAGCTGTTCATGAAGTTGGGAAAGAACAGCGGGGCTCACTTTGTCAATGACATTATACAGCTGCAAGATAAAAGCAGTAAAAACGATGAGTGTTTGATAAAAAATAAATCAATCATTCCCTTTATACCACCATCGGATAGTACTCAGACACGCCTTGTGGCATATTCACAGTCCCCCTTTTGATGCGAAAACTGACGCGGTTCTGGGGAGAGAGAGATCACACGCTACTTATTTTCGCTTGCCTTGTTTTTGCGATGTCCCCCCTATCGGAGGGTCTGACACAGTAGGCTAGAGAGATCCCAACCTTATCACCTCCAATTTTGGTCCCCGCGGGTTATTGTACTCGCCCCAGATTTCTATCAACATGGTCAGCTGTGGATCTGGAGATGCGCACGGAAAATACGGGACTGTTAACGGTCAACACACCTTGAGATTCGACTGGATGACTAGCTGACCAGAGTCTTACAAACTGGTAGGTCTAATGGAAAGACTTATGGACCACGCGTTATTATCAATCAATCAGATACGAAAGCCAATCATGACTTGCACGTACGCGTTGCACGTTTTCGCGCACTCTACCACACTTGTGTGTTTTGATGTTTGATTGGTTGATTGGATTATCTGCGCGTGTTCTCATTTGCCTATTGTAAGCACTTCACTGACTCTGCTTTTAGTCATCCTATACAGCTGGATAGTGAGATGGTTTACTTACCTGATATGGGTCTTGATTGAGGTCAAAGAATTCGAGAAAGTGAGTAACAAACTCACAGTAGAGGAAATTGTGGGTGGAATTTATTGTTCGCAGGCACCAGTACGAGTTGTTTGCAGCGTTGGGACAGAAGCAAAAGTCTCCTCCTGCAGGAACAAGTAAGAGAAATTAAGAAATGTCATCGTATTTTGTATCTAACACGTGAGCAAAGGATATGAGTCCAGTTAGGTGAAATACATAAACTAGTTGCGAAACGAACCAACTGAATACCCGACCGAGCTCCCTAACGTTTAGCACAATTGGCAATCAATAAAAATATAAGCACAATAAGTAGAATATCTGACAATTAGACAACGGATTGACTGAATGGCCAACTGACTGAGTAAATGACTGAATGACTAGTCTCGCCGACTGATGAATTGACTGAGTGACTGATTGACTGAACCAGTGAAGGTACCCAGTGGTGAGTGATCGACTGGGCGACTTACTGACTGTCTGACGGACTGACTGGCTAAATGACTGACTAGAGTGTTACAGATTGATATATTGAATTGAGAGACTGCGACTGAAGAAGCGAATGACTGCGCTGACTGCCTGATCGACTGGGCAACTGAGGGAGTGTCTGGCTGACTGACTGATCTTAAGACTGCCCTTCTCACACCGATGACTGTTTGAGTGAGTGACTAACGGTTTTAAAAAAAATATTAATGATTGACATACTAAGTGACCGATAAAAAGGTTTGAGCGACTGGCTGGTAAAGAGCAACCGACTAGGGGACCAGATGATTGCCTGCCTCACTAACCAACTGACTGATTGTAAGAGTGTCTAACCGACTAGGCTACAAAATAACTTTCAGACTGACCGTCTGAATAACTACCGGCCTGTCTGACTGTCTGACTGTCTGACCTCCGTTTTCGTCCGTCCACACATAAACGAGAATCCAGACTTTTAAAAAATCTCCACTATAAAGAACGGTGTTGAAAAGATGCGTTTTTGGTAACCGTTTTCACCGGATACGTGTGGACGATAGACCAAACTGGAGGATATGTGTGGACGGGCCTAATTGTTGATTTGTTGTTGATTTGTTAGTTGAGTGACTAACTGACTATAACATTACTTAGGTACCTGTCCACAGCGGTGGAAACTTCCAATGATCATTTGTTTGATAAAAGCAGTTCAATCCAGGGGTGCTACAGAAAGTACGTCTAAGACTTGTCTTCACTTTCTTTTTCTTCTTCGTTTTCTGTTTTACTTCCGCTTTGCGTGACGTTGCTTTGGGTAGTCGTTTTAATGGTGATATCTGCGAGTCTAGAAAAAAGAGGTTAAAAAATTTGTTCTCTTTAATGTTCATCAAAATTACTAGGGTCGAATAAAATATATATCAGAATGTAATCTGTTTGGATCACTGCAACATTTACTTGAGATTCCAGACCTAATTGTAAGCTTTTGCGGGCTGCTTATCCAGACCTACTATAGCTTGAGATAAAGAGGCCATTTTTCTATTTTTCTTCCTCGGTAGGGTCCGTATCGGTCTCTTTCACAAATCAGTCCTATGACCAGCTGAGTTAGCCAAAACTATCATTATTCTGGGGACGAGAATGGTTCAAAAATTACTAGAAAAAGTCGCTATGTAGGCCCACTAAGAATTAATACCATCAAATAGGAATTACAAATTGGTTAGGGACAGTGAATCAGTGGCCTAGTATAAACATTACTCACCTTGAGGATCATCATCATCATCATCATCATCATCATCATCATCATCATTATTTTCTTCATCATTATCACCGTCATGATCATCATCGAAATCTCCATCACTATCCCCTTCTCCACTGTGAACGCTGGCCTCGGTAACCCTCTCGGGTTTAGTGCTGTTGCCAGGGTTACAAGGACAAGCATACTCGACCATTCGATCGCGGGCGCTTATCATTAGAAGTTTTTTTCTCCTATCGCGTAAAGCCCCCAGTCGCATTCTAACTTCCCAAATTTTCTCTTTTAGCTTTCCAAGTTTTGCTTCGACGACTTCTTGTACGCCAGGACCCATAAGGGAATCGTTTGCGTTCGATTTTGTACCTGTTGATAAACAGTCATAGCTATAACACCGTGTTTTTCGTTTTTAAGAAATAAGGATAGAATGTAAATCGCAATAAACGAAAACAGCAGCAACACGGGCCCCCAAGGATGTAATTATCTTTTTTTTATACAAAGTAAACAGTACACCGGGAGTATGTAGTAGGGGATCTTTCTTCTAGTTAACCTGAGATCAGGAGTCTTTTTTTTTTTGTTTTTTTTTTTTTTTTTGGCTCGAGAGGGAAAAAAAATAACGCCTGATACATTTATTTAACAAGCAGTCAACCGCCCCCTAATTTACATAATCTAACGTTTGCTTGACCTGTCATGTTTTTAGCCAATAAGCGTTTACCAAACGGGAATCAAATTTTGACGCGAATAATGTCTCTTTTGAAATCAGCCCAGGGAAAAAAAATTTTTAAGTACGTCCGTGTTCAGATGGCGCTTCGTAAAAAAAAAAAAATGTGTTGTTTTTGTGATGAAATATACTGCTAGCTGGAGCTGTCGTACCTTTATGAATAGCTACAAATAATAAAGAATTTACTGGTTAAAGCTCGTTGACTTCGTTCTGTACCGAAAGCAGTGGAAAAAAATTAGGCTGAAGCACCATATTTCACGAACTGAAAGGTGTTGTGAAAGCGAAGATCGCTCAGAATAATTCGCAGCATGATTTCTGAAGGAGGAAATACAGTCAAACCAGGTCAAGATTCCATTCATGAATTGATTATTTGAAAAGTGAACCCGTTTGTCGCTTCTGTAACTTGTAGCCGGTATCAAATTGCATTCAAATGATCGGTGAAGTTTTGACTGCAACTGTTTTGGTATACGATGAGATAGTAAATATTTCAATGGATGAAACTTCTATTTAGGCATTCTTCAAATTCAAGAAAACTGAGCGGGCAGAAATTTCATAACGAACTCGCGTGTGTATTCACTGCTCATTACGCAAGCAAAAATGCAGACTGAAATCAACAACAACTAACGGATGGCGTCATTTTGGCCAATCGGAACAGCGCAAATCATCCGCATTGTTTCCTATCCAATCAGAGAAAAGTCTAGATTCTGGCATTTTTACATGTGATCCGACAAAGAAATGTATCATGCCCTCTTCCCGTGAGAGACATAAAGGGATAATAGGGAGAGGGCATGATCTCAGGCTATCTTCTAGTATGCGTCATATTCACATGGGAAAGTTAGCACTACCCAGAACCGCCACATACTTTCACAATAAAGTATTGCTATCTACCACAGTGACTTTCGTTTGAAGGGTAAGAATTTCAACCAAAGACCAAAAGCGTATCACCCTAACTTGAACAACATGATAAACAGTACAACAGGTAAGTACTACTCAGTAGCTTTCGTATGAATGATTGCACTTTAATTAGGATTTTAATGCAGACTCAAAAGTTAGAACCACCTTGAAAAACATGAAAAACTGTAGCACAGGAAAGTTCTGCTGTATAGCTTTCATTTGAATGGCCACGCTCATAGCGATTTCATAATTATACAGTCTGAAAAGTTAGAACCAACTTCTACATTTAAATGAGCAGTATCACAGAAAAGTACTCCTAAGAGCTGTTATGAGGCGTGGTGTCATGCGCATATGTGAAAGCGGAAGTCATAAGTTATAAAAAGCTATATGAAACAAAGAAATTCGCCACTCGATAAACTACAAGAGAAGTTTGGACATAACTTTAGTGGGAGCGATTTCCGGGATCGTTTGGATGGACAAAAATAGCTAAAAATGCACTGAAAGATTGTCTGAACTTACCTGTGATTGGAGTTCTGTGTAGCATTTTTTGCCTGGCGCGTCGATTTTGAAGTCTTTGTGCTCTCGCCAGCTCCTTGTAATATCTCCGTGCATTAAATTCACTTCTACTCCTCCGTGGCCTGTTGCTAACATAGGAATAACGAGATCTTTTTGATCGCCGTCTGAGCTGCTTTGTTAACAAGTAGTCCAGTTCATTTCTAAGCAGTTCATCTGCGGTAAGAGAGAAAGACAAAAGGTTACAGTGGAACCTTGATATATAACGAACCTCTATATGGCGAAGTTCGCCCCAGTAATAGCACAATATTTGCTATTCGAAGTTTAGCATATATTTGTCTTCTGTGCGTTTTGTAATCCGTTCATTAGTAGCTGTCGTAACAGGATGGGTGTCGTTTAGTTATGCTATAAAGACTCTAGGGTTTTCTGTTTTTATGAGTATTTAAGGAGTGGCCCCGGGGGACTCCCATATAAAAGTGATGGGGATACTCTTCATCTCGTTTTGGATTGTAAATTGCAGTTTCTAGTCTCACGTAGGGTGTTTGGGATGGAAAGTCACTATATTTGCCCATTCAGGTATCGCTTAGTACTGTGCATAAAGAAATCTACAGAAAAAATGCCTGGACACCGACCACACAGGTGAATCTCCCTTCTGGGTCATTTTTAGCTGTAGCCACACCCACATTGGTCTCCCTTAGGGTTTTAATTAGAATTTTCCGACGACCATCCCCGTCACTCTTATATGGGAGTTCCCCTCGGGAGGAGTGATTTGTTTTTAGTTCTTTCTCGCGAAGTGTAGCGAAACCTCGTCATAACGAACAGATTTTGCCAGTCCCGTGGGCTCTCGTTATATCGAGGTTCCACTGTTGTATCAAGAACATTATTGCTTATGTAAAGTCATGGCTGTCAGCTCACAGTTTAATTTACTGATGATACGCTGTAAATGCCGCGCATTTAGCAGTTTATGTCAAGCAACGTTTCATTCAAGGCGATCTGTAAAAGCGGGCTCTCTCTGAGCTGAAGAGTGTAGGCCGATATTTAGCTGTGCACCGATGCCGAAAATTCTCAGGCAGACGAGCAGCATTCCAAGGGAGGACTCCTTAATAGCCAAGACTGAAGTTTGCATTATCAACAAATCAACTGTGAAATTCTCTGGCGAAAAGATTTGACTTGTAACTAGAGGGTCACTCTACCCTCTTTTCCCTAACAAAGAGGCTCAAGCGTGGGTTAACTCAAAACTTTTGAAATGCGCGCCGGCGGGCTGTTTCAGCACTATGAGGCCGCGTCCCTGTCCTCCTTATAAATATAACAAATCTGTAAGAAACGAGAAGGGGATTGGAGGCGAAATGTGTCTCGCAATTGTTTCTGGGATGGTAACTGGGGACGTGTCGGTCAGCTATTGGCCAGTTTTTTCCTCTGTCCCTTTTGAGAGTCCCAGAACTGTGAAAGGTTTAAAGCCAGGAGTCATTTCAAAAGTAGGTTGAGTTTGATCGTCCGGGTGAACGTAGTTCTGAATAGAACTGTTGTTGTTGACAGTGACTGACATTTCGACAACCTGTGCGGTAGTCATCTTCAGAGTCAAAGTGAGTTGCATCACGTCAGTTGATGGTATTATACTCTCCGTGGTTATTGGTCTGATTGATCAATTACGTTGCGATGTTATTGATCGTCTGTCAGTTAAGCCATGATGTTATTGGCTATGAAGACTCGTAATCAGTAATTGGTGCGTTTCGATCCGTCTATTGTCACAGTTAAACAGTCGTCCATTGTTAGTCAAATTGTCAGTTCTTCAGTCGTTCTCTCGTGGTTAGTTTTCTCGAAAGATAACTCAACGCAGATTTCTTCTCGTTTCTATAGTGGCGAATTGATTCCGAATAAAGATAATGACTAATTTCTGGCGCGGGCCTAAAATGGTCTCTTATCACAAAAAGGAAACGCATAATTCCAAACTACCAAAGCTGAAAAAAAAACCCTGCAGGGCAACGAAAAGAATCTATTTTACTCTTAAGCTAATTGCAGTTGAACAGAATCGTTGAAAAGCAAAAAAAATTAACATAATCATGAAAGAAGCAAGATAATAACGCACTTCCCTTTTCAACTCGTTCATAACCGAGAACGAAGTAGAGGAGATGCAAAATGGACCCGGGAACAAGGATGGTGTCATTTCACTGAAATTACATGACGTTTTCTCACCGTTATAAGGAGACATGTCCCCTTGAGATCCTGGCCTCGGTTTCATACATACACACATCTTGACAGGGGAGGTGGGAGCTGACGATGGTGTGGGTCGGGTCGTTGGGGTCGTCGTTGCCTGTACCGAGCCAGATTTTCTACATTTCCTCAGTCTAGGTCTGTTACCCACTGTCACGCATTCCCACAACTGCCTGGGTTTGCAAGGCGACTGGTGTTTAGGACTGTTGCAGATATTTTCTAGAAGTGTCGTCTTGCGCTCTTTGGTTGTCTCAGTCTTGTTGAGGGACTTTCCTTCAAACTTTGACTTGCTGGGCAAACCACTATTCATCATGCTTTTTGTTCTTCTCCAGCTAAAATGACACATTGCCAACATTTCTACATGCGCAAATAAAGGAATCAGCGTTCTAATAAATCCCCGTACCGGGAAAATGTTTACTAGTCGCTCGTGTCAGCGCGTGATTACTGTGACGCCTTTGCCGTGAGCGCGTGGGAAAGCGCTTGTTGAGCGAGTCATTCACGTAAACGGGTTGCACGCGTTGTTCATTGCTCGTCCTCGCACACCACATAAGTGCCTGCTTTTTGGGGTAACAATGACAGTTCGGACGCTATTTCATTGAGACGGAGCTGCTCAACTTAAGGAGCGTTACTTTAAACCTGTCACATAAGGTGGCTTTCACATCGGCTCGATCGAAAAAGTTCTCTAACAGGGATTTTTCAATACTATTTAAATACAATTTGTAATACATGTTTCAATGTGTGTCACAAATTCGTCAGTTAGAAATAACTTAAAAAACTGTCTGGAGAAGCTTGAATAACAAACGAAATAAAGATTTCTTGCAAAATTTTTGGTTAATTTTAATGAAAAAAAAAAAAAGAATAAAGAAAAGGAGGTAGATAACAACAAAGGGTTTTTAAGGGTGTGCACGCGCCTTACCCACGTGACCTTTCAATGAGGATGGTGTCCCTCCAAACCACGTGCATACGCCTGAAAAACAGAACAAAACAAAACATTAACAATATCCTTTAAAGAATCTATAAGTAGAGTGCCATTTATGGTTGCAGAGTCTTTCTCGCTGCTGACACAGTTGTCACTTTCTTCCTGCGTCAATCAATTACTGTTTTAAAAACAGCCCTTCGATCATTTGTCAGATAGTGCCTCTAGTATTAGGGAGAATGTACGGTAATAGTGTTGCACTGGTCTTTGTATTTTCTTTGATTATTTTATGCAGTATTTTGAATATGCCTAAAGAAGCTTCCTCGCACCCCAGAGTTTAAGAGTACGAGCTTCGTGCGACATACCCTGGGTGCCAGAGACTTTTCTAGCGCGGTTTCCGGTTTCTGTCAAGTCCTACGGCCGAAGACGTGTCGGCCTTCGGCCAACACCGAAACTTCCCGCCGCACGCGAGAAAAACCTGTGGTACCCAGGGTACGTGCGACAAGTCCTTGGATTAAGAATATTTTTGGTTTTTCCTCGTTCTTATCTTTTCGTTATTTCAAGACTTCTTTAAAAAAGCACTAAGGGAGATCGTTCTGAACACAAGGAATAGTTACATGAAGAGAAGATTATGCGCTTTTATACCTCTTCGATCGTCTTCCATCTTTTTTCCTTCTGAAAAGTTTCATAATAGAAGTACCGTCCATGTCTTTTGGAACCGTCACGCCGGCAATGTCCAGAAATGTTGGTGCTATGTCGATATTCATCACCATCTCTTTCATCCTTCAAGAAAAATGTACTGTTTAATTAAAGAGCCACCTTGCTAATCAAACGTAAGCACATACAGGTGATTAAGTAAAAAGCCAAACATTAGCAGAACTGATGCATTGTTCTAAGTTAGTCTAAAAAATTTCTTCAATTTTTTAATTTATTTTTTTAAAGAAAAAGTGTTTTGGTCTGTTGTGGAAATGAAATATACAGATAGTCATGTATGAATGGCTAAAACAAAATATCTAAATGGCTACAATCTAAAGGAATTCTAAGTTTGCATGTGTAGTTCTAAAAAATAATGTTTTTATATGTGGGTTTTAGTAACCATGTACCCCTAATTTCACTCTAAGGCCTTACCTGATATTTTTAGGAATAGTCGGTCCTCGAACATAAAATGGCACCCGAATATCGCTTTCAAATGGCATAGACTTGCCTTTTACCAGACCAAACTGCCCGAGATGATAACCATGGTCTGAAGAAAGAAAAATGTAAGTCTCGTTTTCAACTCCCAGAGACTGCAAAGTGTTGAAGATTCGCGCTACGGAGTCATCAACAGATAGAAGCGTTTGAAGGCGCCGACGGTGCAAGAGGTCAACAAATGCGGTTTTCTGCGCATCCATAGGCTGCTTTTGCCTTAGGATCCACTGTTTGTCAAGGGAAATAAAATTCCAGTTAGGGTCCCTGCAAGAGAAAGAAGGCAAAGATATGGACACTGAAATGAGAAGTGTGCCGGAAAACTTCCGCATACCCTATCTTTAATAAAAGAATTCAGGAAATGTTGGTTCGCCCAGGGTAACCTACGATCAGGCGGTCCTTCTTCCCTTTTTGTTTGGGAGACAAGGGGAAAAGGAAGCGTTCTTCTTTTTTTCCCTTTCCCCGAAAAAATGATAAAAAAGCGTGATCGTAGGTTAGCCCAAAGTAGCTCGGGTAGGTGACCCTACCTACTTCCCGGGACAAGCTTTCTCCATACAAACGGAGCCTTAAACTCCCGTCCCTCTTCAATCTGAGGCCATACCTTGGAGCTTGGGCATCGGGAAACGCCGTGCTATACTGTGGTGCTGGCGTTTCGGGACCATGAGGTGCCGCGTGACTTATAACCGCCAGAAATGGACTCTCTGGTCTGGTGGCTCTTGTGCGTTTTATGAACGAAATACTGCGATTGGTGATGAAATCTGTGAAATAATCTTCTTCATAGCTCATCTTGCGCCGTTCCTTGTATGTGTTATGTCTGATGACGTAGTTGTAAAACTTTGAGTTAAACTGTAATCCCTCCCACCTTTTCCAACCGACTGGGACCCAGCTTCCATCGTACTCGTTCAGATATTTTCCAAAGTGACCTGGAAAAGAGGAACCGAGTGAAAATGTAAAGATTTAAACGACACTAAAACGGTTTTGAATGAAGGTGGTGAGTAAATGGGTTAGTTTTCAAGATCGCAAGAACGAAAGTACAAAAATTTCCTGGCACCAAAATATGATATTAAGCAGCATTCTGACCTACTTAAGAATAATTTGAGTGATTTCCAACGTTTTTATTAAATAATCTATCACGGCTATTGAATTTTTATATACAGAATTTTTTACTTCTTACGGAGATTGTTTGCTAAACACCAAACTTTAAGTTCTTAGTGTTGGATTTTCAGTAGCTGGTCTGGATCACACAAAATTCGGCTTTTATCAGTTTCAAAGTTTTTTGTTTACTGTTGTCATAGTAATATCGATTTTACTTAAATCTACATTTTCAGTCCTTAGCCAATTAATGGTGAAAATTTTATAGCGATCAGACAAGGAAAAAACCACTTTTAAGGCGATTGAAAAATATTGGTATGGCTTTTGAAAAAGACTGTATCGAAACACCTTAATTCGAATTAGGTTCGGCTCATGAAAAGTTCGGTGTCTGAACCGGGCCTAAAAGTAAAAATGTAAATATTTTCCCTGAATTGCAACCGCCCGTTATCCGCTTAATTCTGTTATTTTTCCATTGGAGGGCGCCGAGTGGCGCACTATAAAAAGTCAGGACATACCATTTGTCAGTGACCGCGTTTTTAACATTTAATCCAAACCTGAACTGGACGCTGAAAATTGGCAATTTTCTTGGCCGAGGGTAAAGTACGTGTAAGAATGTACAAAACCTGAGCCTGCCGTGCATACGTTTTCCGAGCACGCGCGGGCAGTATTTCCCATTGAACGATCAGAATCAATGAAGACGCTTTAACGTCTTCACTGCTGCCAAAAGAAGCCAACGTCAAAATTCAACAAAATCTCCCTGTGTCATTTTGTTAAATGTTATAAACAGATAGTAGCATGTGAAAGTACTGCCGGAGAAGTTTTATTTGAAAGATCAAACCACAGGATTTTATCAACAGACTTAACTGAAAGTTAGAACAACCCTTCATAGATTCTATCATTCACTCTCGCAGTGAGTGGGGGGAAGGGGGGGGGGGGGTTACAACAAACCAGCCCGTACAGTAAAAACCCGCTATAAAGAACCTCTTATATAAATGGTCATTAGCCCAAATTTAGGATATTTAGGTTCTTAAATAATTAATTTTTATTTTCTGCAGGAAAAAGTACATTGTAGCTATAAGATTATTAAGTGATGTTCAGCTTAATCCTTATATAAAATCTGTATACTATTCCATTGCCGTTGGAGTAATAGGGCACCTACGTCTCCAAAGAGGATCCTGAATGTTGACTTAATATCTTATTTGCATTGAGTGTACAGAACGGTTTTTCATAGATTTTGCAAAATAATTTCCTGCTCCAAATTTTAATCAGGTTCTTGTATAGAGAGGCCCTAACTGGCAAATTTTAGCCTAATAGGTCATTCTTAAACACCAAGTTCTTAATCGCGGGTCTTTACTGTAATCCATACTCGTGTTGATGAACGACCAAATAGGCGAATCTTTGCTGACGTCATTGATCATAATTATTTTTCCTCATATACGAATTAAATTCAAAAGTTAAAAGAGCTGATTAACTTGAGTAATTTGTGAAATTTTCAGATCTTTGCAAGCAAGTTATTGAAGGAAATATCAGCCGGCTATCAAACACTGGGAAATTGCTGAGTGGCAAAAACGTTAATGAACCATACATTTGTAAATTTGAGAATTTCTCCAAAAGTTTCAAAAGATCACTGTATATAATCGGCTGTTGAATAACTCTGCCTGAGAACTGCGAACGATAAACGTAATTGGCTTTTTTTCAGATTTTCAGGGTGATTAATTGTCACTTCCCTTGATTACGACGATTCACTTTTTTTGTTCTGGGATAGAAGAGCGAGCCATATACTGGCTAGTCTCCCGCAGCCGTTTCTCTCTCGTCACGCAACGCTCCCTCCTATAAAGGTACCACAGACTAAACTAAAGCGTTTGATTTTACATTTATGTTTTTCTCTCACAATCCAGAACTCAGATCTGTAATTTTTCCCTTTTTCTCTTCTTTTTGCCCAGTTTTATCCTTGCGTATTTCTCTAGCTTTAAAGTGAACTTCGAAGAACACCCGGGGAACCTTCCCTGGTATCTGTTTAATCAGTAGAGGTGTCCGCTAAATACAGGGTCGCATTGCTTAAAATATGGAAAGAAACGTTTGAAACACACTGAGCTACTCGTCCACCTAATACGGGGTGTCCCCTTAACATGGGGTTCGATCAATGTTGGGAAAATTTGAATAAAGGGACCACCCTTTAAGTCTTAACCCTTCCCTCATCCATTTCAGAATTACGAACGTTAAAAAGACTGCCTAGATGTTTCCAGTCTTTTTCTTGTTTATGAAGTTTTCTTTTCTGGAAGACACTCAAAACGAAATAGTTTGACGTGGACAGTTAATTACTAATCCAATCAGGAAAGGGCTTACAGTGACTTGAACCTAGCGGATCTCATGGAACCCATATTAATTAAGCGGACACCCTGTATCAAGTGGACGAGTAGCTCTATGTGTTTCAAATGTTTCTTCTCATGCATATTTTTAGTAAAATAAATCTGTATTTAGCTCTTTCAAACGGATACAAGCGAAAGTCCTGTGGATATCCGTTTCACAGGTTTCACTGTAAATAATAAGAAAGAAGTTAAACCGAAACGGCCAAGCCAAGCGAATTCGGTCGAGCTTAAAATAACAAGACCAATGAGTTTGTGACTTTAGGCAATGGATTTTTTCCCTATTTCGCAATCTTAAATCAGGAAGTTACGCAATTCAACTATATATTTTTTTCACAGATTACCACGGTCTGCCATTTGTGACGTCATCCGAACATAAGTATTCTCTCTGGTCAATCTGCTCTGTTTGTTGAGATTTCCTAATTTGATTACAAGGCAAAATCTTCCGATCCAATTGATGCCATTTAGGAGAGAATTTGATTTCATAGGTTGAAAGTATGACCCTTGGAACTAAAAACATTTCTTCATAAACAAAATAGCCAGGTATCTAATTGGAAATTCGCTACCATATCGACACTGCATTAAACTGCAATTATAGCCATTAGGTATTTTCGAGTTTTGTCAAAAGTGACGTGCCTACAGTCGCGAAAAAAAATTGAACAGTTTAACTAAAAAAAGGTGACAAAATAGGATTAAATGAGCTCAATTCTGAAACAGACGAACTTTGAAGAGTATTAATTTTGAAAAGTTGTCTTCAATAACCGATTAGATTTAAGAAAATCTGGCAAAGATCTTATCTAACCTTGAACTCAAATAGACGAAAAAGAAACAACAACAACAAAGAAAAGCTGCAAAGAGAAAATAGAAAGAAAGAGGCAAAAAGAAATACAGCTGCTTTGAAAGCAGAAGCACGTGTGCCATTGTTGGCTGTTATCTATCCAAATATTTATGTCGACATCATGATAAAAATATTGCAGTCTATTTTTACAGAAATTCAACCTGGAATAATCCTGAAATTTCGTTTGTATTGAACACTTCAAACATATAGCACCGTGTGAAAGAATTATCGAAGGAAGATCTTTTGGATGGCTACCCACCATGAGAGTTGGTCCGCGAAATAAAAAGTCAGAAGCAAAATACCCATTAAAAAGCTGAATGGTTTAATAAAGTCCATTGATACACATAAGCTACTTAAATTCTTGTGAAAATATTTTGCTTCATACAAAAGTTGGCTTGTTTGGGGTGTATATATAAGAGCAAAATATTGCAGACGGCATTAGTACATACCACTGTGTTAAGTTATATAATAAGCCGATGGAAGTATGGGATAAGGAGAGATTTTTTCTCCTTACTCCCGTTTAATGCCTAAATGCACGCTAAGTCCAACCCGACGTAGCCAACAACAGCGATTAAAGCGAAATGTTCCATGACAACCAAAAGTCCTTCTGGGACCTACTCAGTGAAGATTGTGACGAAAAAGGAGAAACAACCAGTCTTTTCATGACCGTATTTCCTCTGAAGAGTTAAATATAGAATTTAGAATAAACGGATGCCAAAAAATTGACGTTCTCATCAAGACAAAGCATGACAAAAGGCCTCGCTCAAGATCTGCAGATTTCTTAGCGGTAACATTTCTCTAAGGTAGGAATCCGCATATGATTTGAGGCCCAAACGTTCTCCTCACACGAAGGTCTAAAACGTTAAATTTACTACGTTTAGACTGTATGAATTCTCTGTTGATTTTGTACTGAGCGTCTCATCCCGCAAGATGCTTATCGAATAAAAGATAACCTCCTTCTGTATTGAGTCATCATTCCCTAGATAACTACTCATAAATAAAAAATAAGTTGAAACCTTATATGGATGGCTTGGATGTACTCAAATTAAAGAAAGGAAGCGATAAACTTTCGATAGGACACACACATGTGGTCAGAAATTTTTATGGAACAACTCGTACACTGAGGAACAGAAAAATAAGTGATTATTGAATAAGCCGCGAACACATAACTTGATTTCTGTTTCAACTTCATAACGATAATCAACGAAACGGAGTTTAAATGTTTAAAAAGGGACTTTGGCTGAACGGTTTTTATATCATGATCGTTCGTATCCTGGCGATCACAATGTTTTTTAGTCAACCGAATCACGAGGGAATTTTAAGCACCTATGATGCGGTGATGTTGTTCTTTGATGTTCTCTAATGAGAAAAATCATCTGGCCGGCATCTTTCGGTTTGGACCGTTAAGAAAATTACTTCAAAAATCACTAGCTCTACCCGTACAAACATGCTTGGTAACGTGTTGAGACTGTGGACAACTACGTAATAACTATGTCGGTGATGATTAACAAGCTTCTTCTTTAGTTTTCATCAGTAGAGTGAAACTTTTGATCACTAGCACATGGTTTTATTGGGGTTTAAATTGTTAAGGGTCAAATAATGATCCGTTACCTGGGACTCCAAATGTTAAATGCATTAAAAATAAACAACAATTTTTCGTCGTCTATATTTTTATAGATCGACCACAAAGAAAGACATCAAAAATCATCAAATTACTCGTTCAAAGACTCCCACTGTCGTTTATACGGACCGTAAAAAACCCCTGTGTAAGAACCTAGTGGCTTAAGAAACTGCTTGCAGAAATTTGCCATTTTGATACCCAAAAATATAACAGCCTGCCAGTGTTTACCGAGAGAGCCAAGCAAGATGAAACAAGTTCTTCTATCTCAGGGGCCTATTGACATGAACATTTAAACCGAGGAGATGACTTTGGGATTTGCAAATTTAGCTAAATTTATAGCCAGAAAATAATGTAAGAAACTGTTAATTACAAATAAGAGAATTCTTGTGATTTCTACAACAAAAAAGTTGAAAAAAGGGGTTTATATAAAGTACAGAATGTATTTCCCTCATAGCCCTTGCATAAAGAAGGTTTGTCAAGCGGAGGTTTGCAATGTAAAGTTGTGCATTAAAATACTGTATACTTCAGGACCAAACCGGCCAGCTCTGACAAGTTTAATATGTATTTTTCTAACCCTTATACCCTAAAACCATCTCCTACATAGAAATTGAGAATCTAATTAAGAACCTACTTAGGCTATAGATTGCCAGTAAACTTCCCAAAATACAAGTCGGTAGAACCTTAAAAAAGCATGTATAAAGGTTCTTAGCCGTTTGAGGGAGCAATAGTCAGGGGCATAAATTACTTGTTGCACGTCTCACCACTATAGACTGATTGAAAAAGATAGCATTGTACAGAACCTGTCTGAGTTCCTGACTAATGATCTCTTTCTAGCTTCTACATTTTCCCTCCTACCAGCTAGTAAGCTAAACATGTGTCAAAATTAATTCGTGATCGAACGAATACGCAAGAAAAAATAAAGAAAGATACAAATCAAGCATTCTTTTAAAAAAAGGACCTTGTTCAGGGCAGAAAAAAGGTAACTTTTTTTTAAGTGTAACAAAAGCCTTTTCCTGCTCTTAGAACTATAAAAAAAACATACTTCCTCTACGTAAAGCGGAAAGGGAAGTTGAGAAACTAAAAGCCGAAAAAACTGGCAAAGCTCGAAACAAGGCATCAGAGGAAAGGGTTTTTTTTTCGGGATACAATGTAGCCGGTGTTGTGTTTTAAAAACCTTCACTATTTTTATCTCGTAGTTTACGTATTCGAAATTACGGTTTAGGTATCGTTCAACTCATTTCAGTCTTTTTCATGTTAATATTGTATGTTACATTACTCAGTAATCGCAACTATTCTATAACACCTAGAAACTGCCGACCCCGGTTACTTTATCAGTCTTAATTGATTTTTTTCCGCGCAGAGTGTGTTAAAATTACAGCGACTTTTAATAAAGCGATAAACTTCACGACCGCGAAAACTCGTCTGACCCGACAAATAAAAATATTTCAACAGTTCGAATCCCCTACGTCTGTGGAAATTTAATATTAAATAGAACATATCTCAACGGTGAAGAAGTGAGAGAGTCAGACAAGATTCAGCGCAGTATGTTGCCCAAATCACGGACAGTTAAGTTGTTTTAAAAAACAATGCCTGTATAAGCAGAAATTCTTTCAAGATCCTGAGTCAGATACTCTGGAATCCGATCTTGAGCTATGAATCACCATTTAAATAAACAGTTTATTGGGACGGTATAAAGCAACCAGACGTAACTTGACTCTCCAAACAGATGAAGAATTGGGTCATTAGGAGTCAACGAAATCCCTTCAATATCTCCTGCTTAGGTCCCTTAATCTTCAGGTACCATTGATTGTCTTTTTTTTAACAGAATAAGTTGTTTACATATTTTAGAGTAATTTAGCAGCTGAATCACTAGGATCACTGACTAAAATACAATATACAATAACCTTAAGAACAATAGAGGTATGATTGGGGGACAACGAACAATAAAGAATGTGAGCCTTCTTTTCACAATACCTCTTATTAGTTATGACTTTGCAAAAGCAAAGAATACAATTGAGCGCATCGAAAGCACGTTCACCCTTTCACATTAAAACAGAAAGTTGAAATCGTGAGTCGATCTTACACCAACCCCTCACGCATTCTTTCTACCCAATAGGAAAAACTGACAACTAGAACTTGTTGAATCTTGTCAGTATCTAGTTCACGGCGTAGCACATACCCTAACTTATCAGCTGACGTTTGCTTTTGTTTAGTGTAGATTAGAACTGTTGTAAATACTGTCTAGTAACAAAACAGGTCCAAAGTTTAGCCATTGAAATGTTAAAACGTACCTGTGATATAACCTGCTTGCTCCAAATATCTTGCATAACTTTTCCTTTCTGGACCCTTTCTCCAAGACGGCGAGGAGCAGTTTAAGTTGTTGGTAAAGGTGTAATGATTATGCGCGTACTTTCCCGTTAAAATACTTGAACGGGAAGGGCAGCACATCGGCGTTGTGACAAATGCGTTCACAAAATCCGCACCTTCTTGACGCAAAATTTTCTGTGTTTTTTTCATTACATCAGGAGATCCTAGTTCGCGGTCCATATCGTCAAGAAGGATAAAGATGATATTGGGTCGCCGAACAGATCCATTCCCTCTTCGAAAATTGTATTTCATGGCTTTGCGTGCTCCTGATGTAAAATCACACATCAGGATCGCCAGGAAAATGATAACGTTCAGCGTCATTTTGGCGCAGTTCACTGACGTGGAAGAAACAAGACCAGTCTCCCGGCTTTTTCAAGCTTTTAAGGAGCGTACAGGAATCTACAGAGATGAAAACGCGCGAAATCATTGGTGCTGACAAACCATGTTGAAGACAGGCTGCCTGCCTTCAGCAAGGGTTCGAATATTTTAATTATCGGGATGAAATTACTTTAGAATCCTGCGATGATTGAGAAGATATGCAAAATAATTTCAAATAAAACGGCTAAATTCCCGCTGGGATTTGGTGAGAAATGTATCACTTGATTAAATGGTTGGCGAATGATTGGGCACAGGGACGGCTATGGCATGAATAGATGAAGAAGGCAAGTGGACTGTAATGACAACACATTAGGTATAAAAACCCCCGCTTGGAGCTTAAGAAAAAAACAAGAGTTCTCTTTGCACACTCACCCGGATTCAACGTTGACGAAAAAAGGTGATTACAGCAGAGGCATTTTATGTATTATTTGTCTGTGGCCAAACAACCGTATATCATCAATTGACTCCAGGAGAACACAGACAGCGCGTTTTAAAAGACCTTTGTTTGAACACCGGAAACCATACTCAAGAAACAAAAACATATCAATTGGCGGCACTTATGCCCTTCAAAAACTCAATACAAGAAAATGAAGACGTTTATTTTGCAAAATACCGTAAATGAATAGCTTTTGCGCTAAAATGGTAACAACTCGAGAGTTTGATAAATTTATCCGGGATTATAAATCCAGAAACTCATAAGCCTCAGAACAAGTAATCGTCTCCTGGCGAGAACACAATATTGGAAAGGTTCTTTCCTTGTTGTTTTTTTCCTCTTTTCGTCGGCTGGTGGTTTAGTCGAAAAATAAAAAATACTAGAAAAACCCTGATAGCATTTTAGATCTAGAACTGCTGAAATTTATCAGTAATTCTTAAGACCGCCTGGAGATGAATACAAATCGCTTTTCGTTGCACATACCCCCACATGTAATCATCTTTGAGTTGTCATTATCATGTTTCACTTCGTTTTAACAGTCACTTTTCGCGTTTACCCAGGTCTTTGAAAAATGCTAGTTGAAAATTTTAATTATTTAAACAGACGAACGGCTTTCTTTATAACTCGATTTCTCTCTAATAAACCCTAATAACTTACATAAGTATTACGGTTTTAAGAACGTCACTGAGTGATCCTGAGTCTTTCAAGAACATTATGATTATGTAATATTTTCACTTCCCAAATCCACGAGTCAGAGACAGCTTTCCAAACGCGGTTGTGTTACAGAGTACGTTTTTGCATTGCTCCTGCTAACAATTCGTGAAACATATGACACCCTCAAAGTGCGTAACCTGCGAATACAGACGGTGTCTCGGCTCTCTTCGCCCCTCTTCGCTAGGGACGGCAGTTCTCGGGAGAAACGTCGCCTTTCTATCGCAAAACCGGTCCCTAGCGGCGCGGAGCGAAGAGAAAAGGCTGGATTCGCAGGCTGCAAAGTACGCAAAACTCTTTATCCAATCCTCAGGAGGGGTTAATCGCATGACGAAGTGTATGGTGAGGTACGCTTTACCAATTGACATACATGAGCAGATAAAAATTTCTATTTGTTTTTATTTCATTTTTGCCCCATTTTATAATCAGCGGGATAATCAGTCTCCTTGTAGTAACAGTTGACTACGTTTTTCAGTTAGTGTTCAATATTTCACGGATCGAGGTCTACACATGTACAAGATTCAGCCGTGGTTTATTACCATATTAGATGAGTGGACGTCATTATTGTAAGGCCTGTAAGAGTAGATAACAGAAAATTGAGCCGTCGATTTGTTTCTACCACATTACACATGATTCAAAGTATAAACGTCCATCGCTACATCATTACATCTAAGAGCCAGTCCAAGTCCGGACGAGTGAATGGCTCCCTAAAAGGCCAGGAAATGCTGAAGGAAGGGATTTAAAAAATAAATTTAAAAAGCTAAGGATAATTGGTACGTGATTCACTTTCACTGGATTAGCCCGCCAATGTTGTTGTTTTTGTTCTAATCTCGGTTGATTCCTAAATTTGAGACCGTTACGGAAAGGCTTTAAAAAAGAAAATCATAAATAATTTGAGTTGCGGAATAAGCTCACTAAACACCTCTCCCAGTGAACGCCCGTTCGATCTGATCAAGTACTTTATTTGTTTGGGTGTTTGATAGTCACTCGATTTTCCAAATGATAACACTGTTTACCACCTTGGGTTCTGAGAAAGACAATAAACATGTAGTAAAAAGATATCGAAATGAAATAAAAAATAAAGAAACAAATTTTACATGAAATGTTGTTTGGCACAGGTGGGTGCTGGTCAAGATTTTAAGTTTTGAGTCTGGGGACGAATGAAATGCTACGTCGATGTAACTACTTGAATGGAAGCTACTGAGTAGTACTTTCTTGTGGTACTCCCTGTTATGCTCAGTACAAGGTGGTTCTATAGCTAGAGCTTGAGTTTGTGGATAACATTCTATGTTGCATTCAAAAGAAAGCTACTGTGCAGTACTCTCCTGTGGTACAGTTTACCATACTGTACAAGGTGCAGAAGGTGGTTCTTACTTAATTTTGAGTCTGTGGATGAAATCCCGTTATGTAACCATTCAAAATGAAACTTTTTCAGCAGCAGTATATTTGCTTGGTAAGTTTTCTCCTGCATTTTAAGGAGCAAAATTTGAATTTTTTTTATGCTAGCCACTACCTAAGGAATGACAAAGAATACAGATACTGTGGCAATTACACGTGACTGTTTAAATCAAAGCTTTTATTCCAAGTTTCCTGTTGAGGAGGTAATTTTGTCTTTTGTATTAAGTGATGAAGCATTTTTGTCATTATTTGTTTGAATTTTAAACGTTAGTATTTGAGGGCGTGAATCCGGGTGGGGCATCAGAGTCTTCCGTTTTCCGTTTGAGTTTAACCTTTTCACCCAGAATGAATCTAAGCTATCTCAAGAAGAAAGTCCAATTTACTTTCCTAAAAATACTAAAAACCAGTAGCACTGTACAAGTCAAAGTGCGGTTGGGCAGGTTTCAATTGAACGGTGGCATAAATCATAGGAATATCGTACCTCAGACTAAAGAGGTGGTATTTCATAACCGTGAAGACTTGATGCACGGCTTCACCGCTTCAGTTCTTCTTCCCTTATAGTAACTTCTTTTGCTTCGTACCAGTTAGTAAGCTTAACAAGTATCAAACTGGATTATTTCGTGATCCAAAGAATAGGAAAGAAATATTATAAAGCCGGAGTAGTGCTACTGGAATAGAGCTTGACTTAATCACGTATAAAGTGACCTCGGTCGGTCAGCTGAGCGAATGATGACTTTTTTGAAGTGTAACAAAAGCCATTTTCCTGCCTTTAGAACTAAAAATAAAGCATGAGTATTTCTCCGCCTACAGATGAAGGGAAATTGGAAACGAAAAGAGATGCCTGAACAAAAAAAAACCCCGAGGTTTGAGAAGCCTCAATGTATGGCGTCAGTGGGAAGGGGTTTCTTGTCGAGATTTCGAGACTGAGTTGAGCTAATGACGTTCACAATAAAGGCGCGGTTTTGTGACTAAGGAATCCTCCCTTGTTTTGACTGATTGCCTCGTTACGTTTCATGCTGATAGCCTTGTTAAGTCACGATTTCATGCGGGGAAATTGAAATAATGGAGGACTACGACAAACAGACTAGGCGATTACTGCCAGAATAGTAGAAACTACACCCTTCATGTTTACCGCAAAACAGCTAGTAAGACTGCAAGCAGTCTCTTGATTTATATCATTATAAAGTACAACTCTAGCGCGTTGGTGAGCGACACATGTTTGAAGAGACGAACAATAAGAGACCCCTCGCAGTTTGCGGAACGGTTACTCGGCAATCTTTATGTTTGCCGGTTAGGTGCATTGTCGTCCTTCTAATGTTCATAAACTGTTTTTAGAACTCGTAAGTAAATGAATGAGCAATGTATGTACGAAAATACTACGACTTACTAGTTCCTTTGTACTTATTCATCGGCTTACCTTCAAAAGTAGTGGTCTACAAACGTCAATGCACCCCTGGAAAGTGTGGATTCAGAATTTAAAGAAACGAGAAACGCTACCCGACTATCAAAGAAGCGCGCGAAAAAACGCTATCTTTCGATACCGCACTCCAACTTACAGGAAGCTACTTCTTCCGCCACACGTAAAGAATGACTATAAAAACAACTGATGCTCGAAATGAAAACTGGGACACCCACAATAAATCCCACTTGACTTGTGTGAGCCTTACATTGACAGACAGTTTGCTTCAAAATTTTTGGCAGCCAGTTCGCGATCAACTTGTTTAATGTTTTCTCGACGTTATTGCCGTTCTCTGTTTTGTTCAAGTGTTCTATTTTGTTTTATCATGTCTTTTCTTTTACACGATTTTTTTTAATGTAATGTTTATTTCAATAATATTACAGTTTAACCAGTACCTTTAAAAGATCGCGGAAGAAGTTGGCTTCATTGTTAAGGTGTACGAAGATCATCCATTATCAACCTGATAAAATTGAAAGTTTAAAATAGTTCAGAACATGAGTCAAAAATAATGGCGGGGGTAATGTAAAGGTCACCAGTTTCAAAAAATCGGTTATCAGAGAGCCTCAAAGAAAACATTTATCCTGAAGTTTCTATAGTTATCCTACGGGCCTCTTCAGTGCAAACGAATTGCGATCTCAGACTCCCGGAGGGGGGGGGTACTTTCATATAAGATGCTAATGGAGATGTGCCGCTGGATGGGGTCGCATTTTCACGACTGGATTGACTATAATGGAGTCGCATTTTCAATAGAGTTACTAGAATGGGGTTGCACATTTTCGGATTTTGGGGTAAGACAGTTCTTCATATTTACGGTTAGCAAACGTACTAGAATGTTTGTACTGAAGCTGAAAACTGAGAGTGTTCTTCTTTCAGTTTAAAAAATGGGTCGATTCATAAAAATAGAAAGTGACTAAGTTGGGATCATGAAAATTACACATTTCACCCAAAAGTGACTAAGAAGGGGTCTATAACTGGTCACAGAATAGACTATAATGGGGTAGAGGCTCTGAGAGGCCAGCGGCACATACCATCAGCGAAAATTTACCCAAGTAACCTCCCCCCCCCCCGTTCAGAACCTGGCAAACATTTCTTAACCTACAAGGGAAAATTCTCACATTAATTGTCTGTACTATTTGGCCATATTTGGTTGTATCTGGTCTTTTTCTTGACTTCAAGTATCTGACCTTTTCGAGAGGTTAAAAAGTCTCTGAATTTTTTTGACCAGCAATGTTCAAAATATGCACAAAACGGCTCTGTCCATGCAGATTAAGTACCCAGAAATAGGAGCTGTTGAAATACAGGGAGTGTAAACTGAATTCATTCAGTTGAAGTGCCAGTTTTAATGTTAAACATGTGGATCAACATCATTTTTAGCAGCTTATAATTGAGTAACGGGCCACGAGACTATCTTATTAGCAGAGATCTTCGATCGGCCTGGTGATAAGTAAGCCTTGGTAGTACCGTAATCACGGGACACAGTCACGTGCTTAAAGCAAATTGACAGCTGTTATATGGACTGGGATTATTTGTCTATTCCCTAACACACCGTCTACAACGGTCGATCGTTGTCATTTGTTCTTGTGCTGTATAGCATAGAAATTGAAAGTCTCGATCAGCAAAAATAAGAAAAAGTTGATTATAATAAGGTAACTTTTCGGAAGATAAAACTTGTTAGCGCTTCATATTCATTGTACGATCATTCGCCAAACATATCCCTGGCCAATGAATTCATCCGTCTCACTCACTTTAAACTGTTTCCATTCCCTTTTGAATGCGAGTTCTTTGCCGCTGTTCACTTAATCCATTTAAATTTAATCTCGGGTTTAACCTCTGAAATTATTACAGTGTCCCAGCAAAAGGCTTTTGTTTTCGCTTTTTGTCCAAGTATCCAATTTACTTAAAGTTAAAAAAACCTGGATAATGCTAATCATCAGGTTATATATGCTTTTCAAATTTATTTCCACTCAATAATTGCGGCGTATCAGACTGAGCAAAAAGAATGACGTTCCAAGTACGACTAAAAAATTAATTTTGTTTAGTTTTTGATAATTAACTATTCAATTTTGCAAGCAATCGAGATAATCGTTTTTCATTTGTGATTTATTAATGCAAACTCCTTCCCACCACTGGCGTATGAAAGCCCACAGCAAGTAATTTTCAAGCCAGAATATTTCTTAAAAACTGTGTAAAACGAAAAAATAAACATTTTTTCGGTTGTGATCGAAAAAGGATAAAAAAAGCGGAAATCTGACATAAAAAGAAAACGAGAGATAACCATAGTAAGACAATGATACTGCCATTCATATCGATTTTTGTTAAATTTACTTATTAATAAATAGTCTACGAGTTTAAATTATAAAATTATTATACTCTTAACTGGGATAGCATTTTTTCTAATTGGACTACTAAACACTAAGGAAGCGAGATAAGAACGTAAATGCAAAAAAAGACCGTTCTAAGACTGTAAGATGTAAGTTGGTATAAAAAGTCCTTGGTTAAATCCAAGTCGGCGGTCAATACGTAAATGGCTTTATAATGTTTTTACACTTTCGAAATTAAACCAACACATAACAGTGTGGGATTGAAAAAGATGGAAGCAACATCTCAAAACCTGAAGAAGGCAGGCTTGGCCAGCAGAAATAAAAATAATCGTTAAGGACACGTCGTTTCAGCTTTGCAGTACTTTAAGTCTCTGGACCCTTCTCCTCTCTTTATTCCCCAATTTTTAGGTGATTAGATCTCTCCCGAAATCTAACGTTGATGACCAACACGATCTTCGTCAACGGTTTTTTCTTGCAGTTTATTTTTTGATAAAAAAAAAATGAGAGGCTGCCGCAGATGACTGACGAAACCTAAGAGAGTATTTCTTCAGTTCGAGCGCTCGAGAAAAATTTCGTTCTACGTGAAAAAAAGTTGGGGAGTTTAAATGTCACGACGGCGTCGGCAACGGGAACGTCATAGAATCAATAGGTTTTTAAACCTATCGATTTCAGCAGTCTGCACGTACGTAACGCCCTTTTGGTACATTTCATTGCTATTCACATGCACGTCACCACGACGTGAAATTGCCGGGCTTATTATAATAATTGCACGTTTTTTCGAGAACGTGAACAAGAAACGACCACGAACCTAACTTCTCTTTCGCTTTTTTAACTTGGATATTTTGTCTTAGGAATTCAAGTCATTCAACTTCAGGAGAGTTTGCCTGCATTGAACAAAGTTAGCGATTTGGGATAATCGCGCCGAAGTTTCAATGAACGCGAAGTCGCTTTTTAACTTAACGTTTTCACCAGGGCGAATAAAGGTTGAAAGTTTATGAGGGTCTCAATGGGGTTAACCGGTAAGCGTAAAATAGCCTGCGTAGCTGGCGGCATTGTGTGGGTGCGAGATTAAAGTTTTGGCGGCGGAGCCGAGTTCCAAAAACAAGGATTAGCGACGCGTATTTCTCGCGGCTTCGCCGCCAAATCTCACTCGACTACTACACAATACCGCCAGCTACGCAGGCTAGCGTAAAACGGCCAAAAATTGAAGAAATTTAACCGCTAGCTGTAAATAGGGTAAAAAGAGTTAACCTTAAAAAAGCATTTGTTTCCTACCTAGATTTGTTAAACTAACCTAGCTATGACCGGTTCCGTTTCTATTTTTCGCGGCTACTTTGACTCCGTCTAGCGTGTCTGCTTTTGCTTTTTTACGATCTTTTTCAAATGAACTGTTATGTCTGTTATCAGGAATGATCCTTTTCATCCCTTACAAAATAATGTTACTAGACGAGGGTAACGTTTGTATTTTCGGTTTTGGCCATTTTTTA